AATTTAATTAAGTTTAATTAACAATTTTAACAAAAATTTTAATATTAATATTTTTATTCACCTGTAAATTATGCTTTAGACCTTGCTGAAGTGGAAGACTGTCTGTGGAGGATAAAGAATACGAGTCGTAGCCGGCATCGTAATGACCGCTGCTACTACTCGATAGTTCTCCAGATTTGCTAGGGCTTTTAGGTATGCCCGAGTTTCTTTGCATTTTATTAACAAGATACAGATATGAATTGTCCATCGTAGTCGACGAACTCGATGACGCGCTGTTCCGATCACCGGACCAATTGCCGGAATCTCGTCTCCGAGGCACGTTCATGTGATCGGGGATGCTAATGCCATCATGCGGCGCTGATCCCACGCTTAAACTACGTGTCAACTGCATCTGCTGTTTTTTCTGCTGCTGCATTACGTTTTCTACGGCACGGCGGCTAATATATTTCGACTCTATGTCACCGTCCACCACATCTACGCCCTGTGTAAATATTAATTTGAAATTAATATACTGAATGGTATAAATCACTTTCTCTTCGACAAGAGAAAAGTCGATTTACAAAAGATCATTCACGAATAATTGATTATCGCAACGCACCTGATTGCCAAATATGTTATTTTGAATGTCCGTGAGGTTCTGATAATCACTGTAAATACTTCGTTGAGTGTAATGATGAGGCGGACTGTCAGGATTGGGTGTGATGGCACGCCTGGCAGTGTTGTTGATGGATGGCTTTTCGGGACTAGGCGTAATCGAACGGCGAACATTGTTCTTCGGAGAAGTCTTGAGACCATTACCATTCGGAAAAGGGACAACAGTCTTCGGAGCGTTTTCAGTGTTAACAGGAGTACCGGCGGGCGTCGCGTAGAGTAGTAACAAAGGCTGATAACGGCCTCTTCTACACTTTTCCACGACCTGCTCCCACCGAGGTCCAATCTCCTTGACAGTCGCATCATCGAAGTAAATCCACACCTAAACGTTTATTTTCCCAATTCGTCAATTGAATTGCCGTAATTTTAATTATCAATTAACGCAAACGTCAAGCAATGCTGACCTTCAACTTTGTGTGGAAGAAGAAGGTAGAATAATGCTTCCCGTAATAGGTAACCACTCCCACAAGATTATGCACGGTCGAGGCACCCCATCGGGAGTCCACCACACTATGGAAGACGTCGCTAAGCCGGAGGGACGTGCCTACAGTCGCGAAGACATCCATGATATGCTCCAATGACGGTCGTTCGCTGTCCCAGACAACGCCAACAGATACTATTTCCGGCCGATTCATCAGAGTCCGGCATATTTGAATTTTTGCTCCACAAGAACTCTGGATAAAAGAAATGGAGAAAAATTATATTTTTGTATTTTTCTTGCAACGCCATCGCCCATTTTTATAATACTAATAGTTGTCGAATCATGTATAAGTTTCGTTCGGCATGGCGTCCTACTTTCAAGAGAAAGTTTAGGACGATCACATGTAAATTCGTGGAAAAAATGAATGAGTCAGTTTTACGTCACTCGCGTAATCTTCTTAAAAAATTTAATACTGAAAAAAACCGCAAAACCAATGTCAAAATATAACGCAGTAAAACGTTAGTTAGTTAGTCACTCAAGCATTTCGCAAAGTGTCAGTTTAGCCTTGCTTACCGGACAGTCACGGATGTCACCCATCCCGCCAGCTCTTCGGAGAAGTTGTCCAAACAGATCCGGATTGTTTCTCAAATTTAGCGATGTTTGATGAGCCTGAGATGTCAAAGCTGATGCAGACACGTAATGAACCATCTGAAAACAAAAGGAAATATATATATAATGTCTTTTATTTAGAAAATATAAATTTTTTAACAATTAAAATCTATGAAATACGAAACAATTGATTGACAAATTGTTATATACAATAATATTCAGGAGATAAAAGTTTAAACTTTACTTGTGGTTTATTACTAACAAAATTTTCTTTATTCCAATTTTCTAAGCTTCTTTTCCGCAAAGCCAGATCGAAAGGAAAAAAATAAAGTGTTAAAAAAGATTAAGTGTGGTATTATGTTTTTAAAAAGATAGCCATCTACAAAAAAGAAGAAAAAGATTTATCTAAGGTAAGGTTCAGATTTTACCTGAACCTATCCGGCCCCACTTAAAGAACAATGTAAGAAAAGCGGAAAGGTCACCCGCAAAGATGCAAATAAATTTGTGAAATTTGGCGTTTCGTCTCGGAACGAAATTTCATTACCGGTTCATTCTTACGTGTGTGAAAGCCACTACACGGTAAATTCACCAAAAAAAATGAATAAATTTATGCAACAAACACGCAAAAAACTTTTAAAAAGTAATAAATTTATTTATTAAATAATTAGAAAGACATCATGTTTACATTTTTTAAATAAAACGTTTCTCGAACATTTTTTATACTTCACAATATAGCAATGTCGAGATAAGAAATACAATATTAATTATACAAACCTGTGTAAAAGGCAGTGGCTCCGATGTCGCACCGCAAGCTCCACAGACGCTTTGCTCAACGAGCGTCATGGCAAACTTCTGATGCGGCACACAATGCCTCGCGCTACACATATCTTCAGCCTCTCCACTCGCAATATGGAGGTGTATGCGTAAGAGAATGTTTTCCTAAAATTGAAAATTTTTTTCTCAGCAAGCGAGCATTTCTTTCCATCGCAATTTGTAAATGCATTGCAAGGCCAAGTTAAATACGTAACAGCTATCTTCACTATTTATTGCAAAAAATTCCAGCAGCTATATTTTCTAGTAAAAAAAAATAATGCTTGTCAACTTTAATTCAATGCATGATAAAAAACAGCTAGCTAGCTTGCATTATTCAATAAAAATATTCGCATTTGAGAATATGCAAAATAACGGTACGCCACGATTATGTTACTGTCCTTGCATCTATTGTACGTTCTCACTGTGCGAGTACCAGCTTGTATTGATATTATTCAGTCGAGTGTTGACATACATACAAGCATTCTAGCGTCTAACGTGACTGTTGTGTAAACGAGAAAGTAGTATCTCGGCGGTATTTGCAAGGCTCAGTTAAGATCGTTATTGCTAGTCCAATCTCATTATTGCTAGTCTATAACTAGGTATCATTAGAAGCGTTCGATCAGCTTTGAAATATTCAATAACGAGTATAGCGGGTTTCTTCCTTTACAAGAAAAAAATCTTAAGAGGGATTCGATTTAATTCAATTACATTTCGCAGTTGAGCCTATCTGTGCCTTAAACATTCCTGTGTTATTAGAAAGAAAAATCGATCCCTCTTTTCGTTCTTACGGAATATATACATTTATGTGTTCTTTAATTGGAAACATATATTGTGGCTTGCGAATCTTGAAATTCAATTAATTCACAAAGAAAACCATAGAAACTTCAACAATCGAGAACGCGATCTATCGCGGACGATCGAGCGCGCTCTCGTTCGGATTTGATTGGTCGTCAATTGACGCGTTACGTTATGTGCATCGGTATCTCGCTATTTCAATCAGAGGTAACAGCATCCGGAAAACCCAAAATAATTAACACTTACGAAACCCAAAATGATTAGTACTTACGAAACATTCCGCCGCGTCGTCCATAAAACCAAGTTGGAATCTCTGTTGATCGAGAAAGCTCTCGGCTAGCGCACGACGCAACGTATCGGGTGGCAGAGCGCTCTCTTGAGAAAACTGTAGCTGCGAGAACAAGTCCTGAAACAAGACAATGTGACGAGGATTTAATACGGAAGTTACCGAAGAAGATTTCTCGTCGCTGAGTTTCATCAACGCGCCGACGAGAATCCGCGAAACGTAAGTACGTTACGCGGATGGCGTAAATAAATAGACACTTCATTGATGTATATTTTTGTTTCCTTGCATAAGAAACAGACGGTATAAATTATATCAATAGTAATTCGTCGATTTTTTATTCAAATAAAGATTCGATTCTCCGTAATATTACATCTATTAAATTCTTGACGTTTTTATACTATATATATGCCCACTTATTTTTATAGTGTATGTATTTTTTGTATTAGCATTTGTATTTATTTTTGTCTTATTGTTAATATATGATGCACGACGAAGAGATGTAAATGTGTAGCGGGATCAATAAAATCAATTTTTATCAGAACCCTGCGGCGACTTAATTTTATTCAATTAATTACTCAACTTTATTTCACATTATTTTATTTTATTCAATTAACTATTAAATTTATATACTTTTTCAGTACTCTGAATAAAATAAACTTTACTTGGCATGGAAACTTTAACTTGTAACCAGCTTCGCTATAAAACATATTGAACGAATTATTTTATATTGCATCTTTGATGATAATGTTCGTAAATATCGTCTAAATAAACGAAAAAGAGGAAGAAAATAGAGATTAATTTAAATTTTCTTGTGCAATGTTATGTGAGCTCTTACATCACCACCGATAAAACCGTTGGTTCTAATGATAAAATCACATGTAACGCTGAACCTACCGTACTGCTCTGCTTCTCTTATTTCCCTAATCAACATATCCGCGAGATAATCGGACGGTGCATAAATAATTTCGCAAAGCGCAAGCGATTTTGCAACGCGGAGAAGACAGGCGAAGACCCGGCGAGATACGCAATGGGACATCGACCACACGTTACCTCGATTTTTGCGGCTTACGTCGCCGCGGCGATGCATGGCAGAGGTCAAATAGAAGTGCCGCGGACCGGTCGTAATTCGCGACCTATCGGCAGCAGCCGGCCTTTAGTGGGTTTCGTAACTAATCCCACCCCCCGCGATTGCTGAGTAGCGGTTACACGTAGAAAGTCGGCGCAGCCGACTTCGAAGTGCTTGCTTAACGCAGTGTTCAAATAAAAATGTTAGTCAAATGCAAATAAAAAAGAAAATAAACTTGCGGCGCGCGTGCGAACTGCAATGCGAGTCGCAAATTCGTTCTTGTTTGTCGAATATGCTAAATGACAAATCAAAATTAATGGAATGCAAGATGATAAGCCAGATTGAATTTCGAACATTTCACGATGAAATTGAATGGCTGAGTCGGAGTTCGTGCCAGTCATTCTGCTACGTCGCGTCTGAGTTTACCGAGGTGGCAACCTAGTACACTATGTCAATTCATGTCTGAAGTGAAATTCCTCAATGAAAGTCGTGCGCTAACTGTGCACGGTGCTGACAGATGTGGTACGCGTTCTGGTCGACGTGAAGTGATGATACTAACGGCACGTTCATGTGCACCAGGAAGAGAAGGACGTGGCACCTGTTCGAGACAGGTTTGCCGCCTGACGAAGAAGAAACCAGCCGGCGTGCGCGTCACATATTGTGTTAGACCGAGTAAAATCGATGAAAGCAGTGTTTTATCGAACATCAATTTCAGTCGCGTATTACGCGTTTAACGAAGCATTCTGAGATACAAGATTGTGTAAAAAAAAACTTGTTAAAAAAATAATTAACTTTCGATATCATTGATATCGCCTCGATATAAAAGAGAGAGTAAATGTTAACTGCATGCGTATTTCTGAAGCCTTTCACACGCTCCGACACTCTCTTAGACAAAGCCGCAGTCTATAATAATTTGAGAGAAATTATACACGTGTTTATTGTCTTAAGGTAGTTGGCCTAATGATTAAATTCATTATGTTCCATTCAAAATCATTCGATGATTCACTGTAATTAGATTAATTAACGCTACATTTGCCATTAAGAGTACTACGACGCACGTACTGCTTCAATGAAATTTCTAACGCAACTCTCTAAACTGACTTTTAATTAATATAGAGGTTAACAAACAGAACGTACTTTTTTTAAATCGCTCAGCTCGACGTTGCACACCGAGTCTTCCTTCTCCATGCCGCTATCTTCCCCTTCTTCTTTGATTTTAACTTTGGCTTCAACCCTCGTCTCATTGTCTTTTACTTGCTGATGAGATACACACGACGTCGGCGTCGTCGATGTGGACGTCGTCGCCGACGCATTTTGGCGGACTTTTATCCACTTCAACATTTTTACATTTTCAACACGCTCAAGATTACGAACACTAATTTCCTTGTTTTCGTTCCATGATTTGATGAATACACCATAATTATCTTCGAATGTTAAGTATATTTGTATATCGATAAAGATTTATGAATTTATTCGGGCGCTCTAAAATTGAAGCCATCATGCAAGATGGATCTTCCGGTTTAAAATTAAATATGAACTTCTCGACAAAAAAACACCTCGTGAAAGATAGCACGATAACGTTATTTCTAGTGTTTACTTAAAACACCTTACTTGTTCGCCTGATATTTTTTTTACTTTGGAGATCTTCCTTCTTTTAACATACATCGTTATCTCCTCTGTTTGCCACCTCGTGTGAGTTAATATTCTTGGGGTGCGATAGCTGTGTTCCATTCGCAATAAATACGCAGTAAAGTGAAGACAACGACCGCTTCTTATTGTCCAACCCTTTCGTGTTTTTCTATCATCTTCAAAATAAATTTCTTTCCTGCTTTTCGATCATAGATTGCCGATGATGTAACGCGGTGAATGCTGCAGGCGTGATTTCATGACGCAGCTTTGAGTAATAACGCTGCCAACCGCAGTCGCCGTATATCAGATAAACGAGAGAGTGTTTAAGAACACGAAACGACGAAGAAAGGAGACGCGAAGGTTGACGATGAGCAAGCAGTTATATCTTAGGCAACAGCCAGGCAGATGCCTCTTCGTAAAGAACGGAGGAAGAGTCATATCCAGTAACCGCATGCCGGATATGCCAGCAGAACCCGTTGTCAGATGAATCGTAGTCTCAATTAAAAACGTAAACTCGTTTACGTGAAGTCGGTGAAGCCATTCCCTCGATTCGCGACACGCATAAGCTCGCGATTCCAATTCTTTTAATCTCAATTCCGAGCGACGACTTCTTCGCGACTCCGAACGATATTTTCGAAGAACTCGTTCACTCGCCAGCGAACAGGCATCAAAGCGGACTCGTTAGAAGAATTTCAAGTAACCGCACGGTGGAGATCTTCTTGGAGGATTTCCAAGATGGGAATTCCTGATGATTGCATTAGGATTGCATTTCTCTATGTTGTATCTCGTTAGATCGAGCAAAATAATGGCTCGTAAATTTACAACGGGCATTTCTACAAATGGCGCCCTGAAATCGCTTCCCTGATTGCGTTGAATGATGTGGACCACTTTATTCTATCTTGGAGCACCACGTGCTCTCCGCCATGTTATCTTCTCAAGACGACAAAAGGAAACCTTTTTTATCACAATTCTACTTTTTATCTTCATTTCTCTTTACTATCTAATAAAGATTCAACGTCGAAAATTATACTATCTATCATTGTTATGTTTACAGAACACTTATGCACCTTCCACAAAAAATATTGCAATCACTTAATTGAAAGATCCCATCGCGAATCGCCCTCTTACTGTCACTTTCACTTCAACTTCGGATCGCGAAAAAGCACAAAGACGAAGCACGGACGCACAGCTTCAAAAGTTAAATAACACGATTGCACGGAGAAACGTGAGGCAAGAGCACAGAACTACCTGCACGCAGCACCGTGCACCCGTACCTGAAGCCAGCCACGACTCGCGGTGTGCTGGCGAATATCCCCCCACTTTCCCCCGATTCTCTTCGTCTTCCTCTTCTTTCCAAGGAGCCGCACACGGTGTGCGTCCCCTTCACGCTCTATCCCACCTTCCAATAGACCCAAGACGCCAATGACGTCACCCGTTTAGCTGTCCTACGTTCACCTACCTACCTGAGCGGCCAGCGGCCCAGCCAGGACCGTAATTCTTAGAATTTCAAAGTAACCAATTTCTCCAAAAAGAGATAAGCCAGATAAATCAATCCGATTCCGCTTAAAAATGTATCTTCTGGTTATCTTTAGAAATCTGGTTATCTCGAAAAAATCGCAACAAGAGCTATCATATGATAATCCGTTATTCATAATAAGATTATTTTTCGTGTAGTCTTAGTCGCAAAGTCCTGAAATGTTGTTTTGGGATACTTTAAATTATATGCGATACGGATTGTCCGCATTTAAAAGCACAATGAAAACTCAAATTTCAATATTTCCGTCGCTACGAATGAGAAGAAGTTATTTTATTGTATAATAGTGAGATAAATATGCTCGTTCAAGTTGAACTGACAAATAAATTAACAATATCGCGAGATTCGCGTTTCTAATATTCAGCTAAACTGAATTAAGAAAATCATAAGGAATAATCTCGATAATCATATCAATATATGTATTTAAATATTGTATAACATAAAAAATATAATACATATATATATATATATATATATATATATATATATATATA